TAAAACCGCCTGTGAGTCACACTTAAACAGCAAACAAGTGAAGAAATGGAGCTGACTCAGTGAAACCCTGCAGAGGCTGCTGGGATTTTGCCCGATAAGCTTGTTGGTGTTTAGTTAAAGCATAATCCTAATTTGGAATTCTTAGAAGAAACATAAACATTAATCTGTCGCATCTATTTAAAACCCACAACAATGGCAGACTGAGATTCAAGACTGTTTTAATTGTCACTGATTTTTATATAGCTGTAGTTTATTTTGAAAATACCCATAAAGGAAGAGCAGAAGTTACAAATCAAAAGAAACAAACACTATTATAACATTTGGTTGTTTCACAAAACAGCCCTTTAAAAAAAATCTGAACTGTCCCTTTAAGAAAAGGTCCTCTGCACATTTAGCACTGATTTTTTGTAACTTCCTGCACCTGTTGTGTTTTATTACCAACAACATGCTGACATTGGGCCCAGCTTTGATTTAATTATTGAATGTTATCTTTTGTATTATTTTTTCTAGTACATGAAGGATTTTTAGCTGCTTTTCACATTTTTAATCCTCTTAACTCCAGCGACTGGTTTGTGCTAAACTTCATTATCGCTGGTTGCAGACAAGTTGTTCCACTTTGGTTTCAGTCAGTGGCTGGCCCCTTTGAATCAAGACATTTCCCTCCTACTTGCTTTTTAATAACTACAAGCTACTTTCCACCTCCTCTGAACGTAAATATCAACCAGAGCTAAAAGGCAGCTTAACGTTCACTCATCTGGGAGGAGAAACACTGTGGTGTGTTGTCAGAGGAGAACTTTATATCGACTGTAAACGTGAGCTGAAAGGCATCTTTGTTGCTTTATTTTTCATCAAAGGCATTTCTGCTGATTGGTTAACTCATCTCTTTACTCGGACTGATTTAAGTGTTAAAACAGCAGGAAACAGCTGTATGAAACATTAGAAAAAATCTTTATGGGGATATTTAAAATTGTGGTGCTCGAGCAATTTTATCTCAGAATGTATGGAAAGTTCACTTAAACTGACCAATTCTTAAAATTTGTGTTATTTCTGCTCATATCATGATACGTTTTCTTGCACTTTTTCAAACAAACTGCCCAATAAAATCCTGCGAGCACGGCCTGACCACCAGAGTTTACAAAAACAGACTCATCCGCTCCACCCCCAGTCCAAAACCAGCCCATGATAACTGTGTGTAAGTGATGTTGCTGTTTACCTCCGTCACGCTGCATCGATCCTTCCTCCTTGGGGGCGACCATGTCAAATTAGATAGTAAATCACAGCACCTCGCAAAGCAAATAATTTACCCTCAGGGTATATTTTTCCCCCCGTAGTTTGCCGGTGAATGTGAGGAAATGGATAAAGTGGTTATTATCCGCTGCTAAGAAGAAATTGATTCCTATATTTCTCCCTGAGCTCAGAAAACATTTAGTGATTAAAAGCAAAAGATAAACTCCTGCAGGAAGTACCGTGAATATTAATATCACCTGCTGCCATTAAAGGCAGGTATTAATGTGACTGCCTTCATCTATGTGTTAGCAAAATATCTTATGAGCCACTGAATGCTCAAATAGTACTCTTTAGATCAGGCCGATTCAATTGGYGGCCTGTGGGCCACATCCGGCCCACAAGTGACCAAAGTTCAGCCCACCAATTGGTTCATTCATCTCTTAAGCCCAGCCCCCCACAGTTTTCTACTTTAATTACTATAAGTTATTTTAGTTAGACATAGACATATTTGGTATACAGAAACATCAGAATCTTGGCTACAAGCTGGTAAAAAATGTTTCCAAGAACATCTAAGACAATTAAAACTACAAGCAGTTCAAGATAAAACTGGAAAATAAAATTGGTTTAAAATTTTGGCAAGTCAGAGATGTCAAAATAATATTTGTGTTAAACAGGAGGCATAATGTGTTCTTTTTGTTTTGATACTGTTTTATTATCACTGCATTTATAGGGTTCTGYTTGTTGCATTCATGATTAAATGCAGCAAAATAAACTATTTCAAAGGAAGAACTACTTGGCTTATTTACATAATGACTTGGCCCCTGTGCTCTTGGTCTTCATTAACTGTGACCCCCCCGGAGCAATTTAGTTGTATAGCCCTGCCTTAGTAGTCAGCTTGCTCCAAAATGGCCACCCTAGCTGATCAACATTAGCAAATGTAAAATTCTCTATAGTTCAGTCCAGTTTTACAGAAGGTGAGTTAAAACGTGGTGTGGTAGTAGCTGAGAGTGATTCCAATCACACCTCTGAGCATGAACACATCATATACAATTTTTGTTTTAAAACTCTGTCATGGGAGTCAGCACGCGAGAAGAAATGTTTACTCTGTGAAATAAACACTTTGTACACATTAATGATGCTATGACTAGAACTGGTGGAGTATTTTCTTCTTGGAAATTATAGGCCTAAATTACAGTAAGTAAATAAATAAATTACTTAATTAACTAATACTAAAAATTATTTGTAGTTACAAGTATCATCTACTGTAAGTGGTGAAAAATAGAGGATTCTAAAACCGACTAAACTGATTTTTATTTTTATTTTTTTATCATTATTTTATTTATTTTAAAAAAGTCACCGATTTTTTTAGGTTCAGACAGTAAAAGTTGCAAAAACACATCTTTGTCTCATTAAAAAATTCCCTAAAGAAAATATTATGAAGCCTTGTGTTTGTAAGTCCTTGTGTTTTGACCGAACACGTTTCATTTCACTCAAAATGTTTGWTTTGGAGAGGAATCGGAGCTGACACAGGAAAAAGGTCACGAGTCGGACCCCATTGCTCGTCGTAAACTGTAAATCAGACCAGAATGCCTCCTCGAAAGGTTGATGAATTCAGTTCCCAGATGTGTCGGTGGCGGTAAGAAGCATCAGACTGTGGAGAGAGAGAGAGAGAGAGAGAGAGAGAGAGAGAGAGAGAGAGAGAGAG